AAACTATCATACATTGAAATTCCTTCTATAACTCCTTGTTTGTAATATGAATGAATATTATTCTGATGATCAACAAGAAAGTTGTTAACAACAGCATTTTCAAATCATATGAAAATTAATTATTAAATGAGATGGCAGATTTTTTTAAGGTAATAAATACTCTCTTGGGCTGCTTAATAATCCAACTAACAAAGAAGTATAAATCATGAACACACTGAAAAAGCACTTAAACGTTTTTCAGGTTTGACATAAAATATAGGTGTTGCTGAAGGTAAATTCAGCGAGGGCATCAGTGGCAAACTAGCTATGAGAGTTCTTCCCTCGCAGGTTATTTAAAACTTATCACTGAACAATAAAACTTTAAAAGTCCTGAAATCCTATAATATTAAAGAAGCTTAATACTGGTTTAGCCTTATTAGGTAATGATCCTAAAAACTTACATATAACTAGCAACATATGTATAGAAATAAACTTTAGCAGACACTGGCAATTTTAAAACTGATCAATCATGGCCAGAGAAACAACTGAGTTATCTTTCACTTCATATAAAATTCAATTCATATAAAGTTACTGATAATTGAAAATGTAAATGTAGATGTATTAAAAAGTTATAACAGTTAATAGTCATAAAATGTGATTTTTATGTATTCTAATCCTTGTGCTAATCAGCAGCTTTTTTAAAATGTGTAACTTGCTGTCATCCTTTTTGATTTTAAATAAATATTTGCTTTCATACTTAATGTATTCAGAGTTTTTAATTCTTTAAGTGTTTCAACTTTCTATAATCTTCAGATATCCATAAAATCCTATTCAGATCAATGTTTTATAGGTACTTGTGGGTAAAAATGTCACGAAATATTACTGCATCTTTTAAAATCATACCTCTCTTTAAGGCCAAATTGATGGACATATTCTTGGAGAGTTGTATCAGCCTCTTCTCAGCACAATCTGCAAAACTTAATGAGAAGGTGATACCACAGTTAATATTCTAAATCACTGATTGCTTCATTTTCTATGACTTATCAACCTCTTTTTTTAAGAGGTCGATTGATTGACTGATAAATATTAATAAACAGTGAAAAGACTCCATAAACAGTTGTGTTCAAATCTATCTGATCAGGAAAGGTAAATACAACTTCTGAAATACAGCTATTGAGACAGGTGTGTTCATAAATATAAAAGGGAGGGAAGTATGGTGTTCAGGACTGCTACTAGGGAAACATGACTGCCACCAATGGTGATTAGAAACTCTTGAGAGTTTCAATATTGATTTACTCATGATGTGCTCTCCCAATGCAGAAATGATGTAAGGAGCTTACCAGGACTTTCCACACAGGTCCTGTGTACCTATACAGGAGGAATACATTAAAACTTGGACCAAAATAAGAAGACAAAAAAGAGGAGTAGGTAGGTAATAAGGAGCCAAAAAATGAAGCAAAGAAGTGTGATTCACAATTCCCTCTCCACTTGTTCCAAGAGGTCCTCAAACTCAGGTCTTGGTGTCTGGATGAGATCATTTACTCAAATCAAGGCTTGAAGGAGCCTTGGGGTCTGGCTAGAATATAATTAAAACGAAATGTCAGCAACAGGAGAATTAGGGGTTTTACAATAGTTTTCCCACATCAGTTAGAACAGACACCCTCTCTCTGGCCCAGAGATTAAGCATTGTAGGATGTGATCACACTAGCAGGCATCTTATTCTGATTAGACTTGGCAACTGTGCTGCATGATAAGCTATACCTTTTAAAGACCAAATCAACTAAACCAACACACGTGATATCGACAGTTTCCATAGTTTAGCTACTAAAAGAGAAAAATAATGCCAGCTAACTGCACACCACACCAAGGAAGGTATAAAGAGGGCAGTCCAAACAGCCCCTTACTGCTTTTTCAGAATCCTCTTTAATATTGTTTTCATATTTAATCGATACATTTGCTTACATTTGCTTCTTATAGCTGAAGATGTTAAGGACATGAAGAGAAGACTATAATTTTCAATATAATTTTATATTCATAGTACCACTATAAATTATAATAATCATGTTATTTTGATAACATACTATGCTCTTGGGCTAGAACAAAATTGCTAGAACACAATGTCCAAAGAGATTATTCTCAAACTCATGATGCTAATGCATCTGATGCTAAGCAACAAGAGTGCATTACTAATTATTATTTATATCACTAACCCTGACATCTTGATTGGCACCACAGAGAAGGGGGTCTGTTCTCTTATTATAAAATTGACTCATATTCATTAGAGAGTACTTTGAAAATTAGATCAGCAAATGGACATCAAAAGATCCTAATGTTCAAGCAAGGTTGAAACCCCCCAACTTGGGCCTCTCATCAGGTCATCTCTCACTATTCCTTGAATGTAGTTGCACCCTTAATCCTCTCACAAGGAGGCCATGGATGATGGCTGCAGGTGTACAGTAAGATCCTGGTGCTGTGGCAGATGGGCCCTGCCAATTTTCTATCTATAGAATGCTTGTTAAGGAGTGGAAACACTCCTCGCATGTATTTCATTTTGACTCTACCTTTTTATATTATATGATAAGGACTCGTGTATATTATGACTGACTACCAACTAGTCAGAGGCAGATGATTTCATAAAAAAAGGCACAGAGATCTCTTGGCTTAGACATTTTAAGCTAGAAATCTATGTTTGTTTCTTCAAGTATTGAAATTAGAGCAAAGCCATTCATTTTGAGGAATAGGGTATTCTTTGATCTGAGGGTACCCCTGTGGCTCTCAGACTTGACAATTACCTCTCCTTTTCACAAGTCAGAAAGACGGAGAACCAAAATGTTTAGGGAATCAGAGCACTTGGCCCGGAGTCCATGACTGGTCCATGGACACGGAGATCGATGTGGGTACAGCATACTCAACCTGAACATGGACTGCTCACACGGGATGCGGATATGTCTGCTAAGTCTGGAGCGTTGTTGTGTGAGAGGGGAAAGTTATTAATAACCATGCTAAGAAGCCTACTGGGAAAACCAATCATCCTGTAGGAGAACCGCAGGGGGATGGCCAAGCTTCAGAGAAGAGCATGACTCTGGAAACAGTGCAGTGTCTATCATGTAGCTTATACTTCCTGGACTGAAAGAGTTAGGTAAGACTTAGAAAATATTTCATGTGAAACGCTCTTAGATAGGAGAGTAGAGAGAGGAGATCATAGCTCTGTGACTTATACAATCCCGTGTACTATTGTGGAAGATATGACTGAAGCTCACCATGGTACTGAACACAACTGCCTGGCACAGGCTGGCACCAAGAAGGATCATAGACTGGCACTGAGAAGAAGCAGAAGTGGTTATTAGAACACCCAGGCTGTACACCAAAGAAAGAGGTTAATAGAGTTGGCTTCGGGAAATCTTAAAAATTTCAGTTATAAAACAAGCCCAGAACAAAATGAAAGTTGTGAAAAATTGAGAACAAGGTCTTTATCATACACAATCAACCAAAGAGCAGTATTTTTATATTGAAGGTTATTATAAATCAATATAGAGATAACTATCCCCAATACCATCTCATCTCCCAGAAGAGAAAAAAGGAACACAAACAAGCGTAACATCAAAAGAGAAATACAAATAGCAAATAAGTAACATTTTAAAATTTACAATCACTCTAGATTTCAAAGAAATGTCAGTAGTCTTCATTTCACTGAACATAAAGAAAGAAAATCTAAAGGTGAAGGGAAAGAGTTTTGGCAGGCGAAAGGTGAAGAGAAAGAAGGTCAGAAAAAACAGAAACACAAGGGAAAAGGAAAACTGAGTTAGAGAAAGGCAGTTAGAAGAACACATAAAAACAGGGTATGATTCAAAGGGGGGGGGGAACAAAGAAAAAAGAACAGGGGTGAGCCCACGAATCCAGGCATGGGGTAAAAAAAAAAATCCATAGGAATCACATTTAAAAAATAAAGACATGGCCCTCCCTGGTGGCGCAGCGGGTTAAAGCACAGCACTGAGAATCTGAAGCCACTTCCGCATGAGTTCGATTCCCGCCTGCCGCCTGCCCCGGAGGAGACCACATGGCGAGCCAGACCTCTCCTGATCCGCCCGCTGCTCCCCTCAGCAGTGTACTTCGTCGATCTGCCTGTTCTGCTCCCCACTCTGTCTCTGGTGAAGCCTCTCACCGCCCCTGAGCCTCTGGCCTGTACCCCAGTTCTGTATGAATAAATAAATAAATCTTTAAAAAATAAAAAAATAAAAAATAAAGACATAATCTTTGTTGTTGGAAGCTGTGAGGAAGATGAGAAGCATGCTGTTTCTCGTTTCTGTGCCAGAGACACACACAGAGGCACACATAGCCCGCCTTCCTTTACTGGTTCCCACATGCTGGCTGAACTCACCCTTAGAGTTGACTCAGGCCCAAGGCTAGGAGGTGTTCACTCTCATGCATTACATCTAAAAATACTGTATCTTCTGCTACATCTTCTAAAAAGAAAAGCTGGAAATAATATAGAATATATCCCCCGTGGGTTTTTATGGATATTTCTTTCACATATAGAAAATTCAAGAACTATTTCCCTACTTATACTGAGAGGCATTCCAAAACTGATAAATATTTATTTTTGTTTAAATGAATCAATCTTGCAACTGTGACTTTAACTTGAAATCAGTAAAACATACTTTATTTCTTATCTATAAAGACCTTAAATTTTAATTGCAGTAACATGTGAATCTGCTCATAAATGGATTTTTAAAAGTTGTCAACCACTTGGATCATGAATAGAAGATGCTAATATGCTAGTTTCCTTCAAAATATTTTAACATTTTCATATAATACCAGAAAGCTTACCTTCTTCCACTTTTAATCTAATAAATTAAATCATGTTTCATTTATGTATTAATCAATTGTATTTGAGTCTTACTATTAAGTAGCAATACTTTAAATTCTTTTCAATTTCTTTCCTTTGAAAAAAAATAATGTAGACAAATTACCTTAAATAATCCTCTAGTTATAAATCAAATCCACAATGTTTTTTTTTGACAATGAGATGCTTTATTAAACTTGATACATTTACTATATAAGAATTGTGTGAAAAATATAGGGTATCAAATTATTTCCAAGCTAGGTCTCCGCATTATCAAATCTGCCCCAAAATGATGTCATCTTACTAGATCCCGTGGCTGCCAGCATGGAGATGACCAAGAAGCAGCAACATCCTTTCCCAGTGAGACTTGCCCAAGGTATTATAAGTTCTGCGAGCTAGAGAAAAGTCTGGCTCCATCTACACAGCATCAACTCCAGGCAGCTTAGTTGGACGAAGCAGCTGGCCCTACCCAGTGCTTGACATGAGGTCTACACAGGCTGGTTCGTGGAGGGCCCTCTTCCTTTCAACCAGACCACTGTATTCAAACTACTGCAAGACTCCTTGGAGAGGTGAAACTTCTGGAAAAAAACAGGGAGCAAAAAGGAAAAAAGGTCTCACCGATGAAAGGAATACATAAACACTCAAATTCATCTGCACTAATAGTACTACAGGGAAGGGTGACAAGCTTTCAAAAATTCTCTTTGGGGGACAAAATTCTCTACAGGGGTCACTGTTGCTGACATACTTTGTGAAGGCCACCCATTCTCTCACCAGACATAGATGTCTCTTCAGTGAGGTGCTTGTGATTGGTAAACAGTTCAGTAGAGTCTTGTTCTACTGGTCTTTCCTCTAGGTCCGATTCTGGGATGGTCGTACAGCCACCTAGTAGACAAATACAAACAGTATTTTAAGAAACTTGTAGGAAGCCCACCTCTCCACATGATAGCCACAGCTAAAAAAACTAGCAACCGTAAAGACAGCAAATGATGTGACGGCCAGCTTTAGGAGCAGACCAAAGAGAATGACCTTCACTGTTAATCTTCGGCGAAAATACTGGGAATGAGTGATGGCCCCAAAGACATTATTATGTGGATGATCACTTAGCAACAACAGCAGTGGTGTCATCTTTAAATTTATTCTGTTAAAGCCAGACAGGATAAAACCCACAGCACATGTGATCTCCACGCTATAATGGCACTTCAAGCAGGAATTCCCTTTACTACCAGAGCATAAGAGAATAGAAAGGAAACACAGCACATTAGCCATGAGGGAGAGAAAGCTTCTTAAGCAGGGAGAGGCTGCTGGTGTTCTGAGATGGTGGCTGTGGCCTGTTTCTGGATTTAAAGTTAGCCCTGAATCACCTTACAACACAGACACAAACACTTCATAATTCAACAGCAAAGCTATGGACTACATTGAGAAACTTTCAATTCCAGAGGGCTCAAGGATGAGCTTGCACCACTGAAGTTTTGTCTATAAGTCATTTGATTTTACCCACCAGCATCACATATGGGAAACTCAGAATTTCCTTCCTGCTTCTGCAACTTGACTAATCTGCCATCATTGCCTGGAAATGTACTAACATACTGTATACTGTGCATATTTTCTCCCAAAGCAATTCTCCTTGTTAGTGAAGTGGGAACATTTTCTCTTTCTTGGAGGCTTCTCACATGCTTATTCCAAAGCCTTAATACTCAAGTTAGGCTCTAGGCATGAAGAATTTTATGAAAAAGAAGAAGAAAAAAAGATTATCAGTAGTACTGATTTGAAAATCACATCATTTGAATGAAAGGTAAACAGTAAGACCTCCAGGTCTGCAGGGAAATCACCTTACCATCCACCCTCTGCATCAACTCTGAAAAAGAAATGAAGGCCAAGGCAAATATGAGAAAAAGCATTTCCACACACATAAAGTAAGAATTAGAGGTAGACTCAGAGGCTCCCCAAACAGGAAATGTGAGAATTATCCATCAATGCAATGGAACTTACCCAGCTCTATCTGAACTGGTGAGGGCCCCATCCAGAAGGAGAACCAGGTTTATTTCAATCTCCTTTCAAAGCCTATAGATCGTGGTAACAATAACTCTCATTATTAAGCACATTTAAGTGCTACAAACTCTTCTCATATTATTTAATTTAAGCCAAACTCCAAGATATAGATGTTATTATTGTCATTTTGCATAGTAGAAAGCTAGGTCTCAAGAGATGTGTAACTTGCCAAGGTTACATAGTTCCTCAGGAATAAGACAGCTCACACTCAAGCTGGCCACTCCTTTCCCTAAGTTTGCTTCACAAACCATCATTATTTTAAGTCTTGCCTTGGGCTCTGTTTTCTTATAAAAATCAATAGTACTGAAGGTAATTCTAAAATGCAGGCCCTTCACAGATGGAGTTTTAAGTTAGGTTATCTTCTTTCTATAAGAAACAGGTATCTTCTTTCTATAAGAAACAGGGAGGGCCCTCCCTGATTGCGCAGCGGGTTAAAGTACAGCATTTAGAAGCTAAAGCTGCTTCCACATGAGTTCGATCCCCGCCTTCCCGGGAGGTGATACACATGGCGCGGCAGACCTCTCCTGACCCGCCCACTGCTCCCCTCAGCAGTGTACTT